CCAGCCAGCGGAGCCAGACTGGACCAGGGGCGCTATGGGGGGTTCATTGAAGGGTGGGGGTCAAGGCCGGAGGCAGAACCGCCGCCGAGGAGGTATGCCCGCCCAGCCCTCCCCTGTTTTGCTTTAGTTGAGGCGCGGTCGCAGTCCGCGCCTTTAGGGGGGGGTACTGTCACACCCTGGCTCTGGGACTCATTATGTTGAGCCAGGGTGTGTTCATTCTATGTGTTATATTTCTATGTTGGGTGTTCTAGGTTGTTTATTTCTATGTTTGACTGAGTGACTCCCAATCAGAGGCAACGAGTGTCAGCTGTGTGCTGGTTGTCTCTGATTGGGAGCCATATTTTACTGTCTGTGTTTCACTTTGTGTTTGTGGGTTTTTGTTCCGTGTTCGGTCATTGTCACTGAGGACTTCACGAGTCGTGTTTTGTTTTGTTTTAGAAACTTTAACTAATTAAAGTAATGTTTGTTTCTCATGCTGCGCCTTGGTCTACTCATTACTACGACGATCGTGACATAGAAACAACATGGGAGTCCATATTCACCCACACAGAGAATAGAAACAGCATGGGAGTCCATATTCACCCACACAGAGAATAGAAACAGAGGGGTAGTGGGAGGGTGTGTATGTGTGTAGGGCTTCGGGAGGGGTGCTGTGGCTGATGTGGCAGTGGGTGCTGTGTGCATGTGAGTGTTTGTGTGTGTGTGGAGACACCCTCTATGTCACCCTCACCAGCCCCTCAGACTCCAGGCTGCATGTCTCTGTCCCAAATCATATGTCTGTTTCCTTTTTAGCTCTCTGATTTTCACCACACAGGCCCGGTTTACACACACACACATACACACACACACACACACACACACACACAACAGGGGCCCGTCCACCACGACTGTCTCTCCCATTCTGCTGAGAGCCAGACGGAGGCGGTCGGACCCTCTGTCAGATTTAGAACCTCCACATAATTGCTGTCCTGGCCTGTATGTGTGAGAGCTGTGTGTGTGTGTGTGTGGATGAGTGTGTGTGAGAGAGAGTGTATCTGTGTGTATAAGAGAGAGTTTGTGTGTGTATCTGACTGTGTGTGTGTTTGTGAGCCGTGTGTATGTGAGTGTGTGTGTGTGTGTGTGTGTGTGTGTGTGTGAGCCGTGTGTCGTGTAAGCCATGTGTGTGTGTGGATGTGTGTGTGTGAGAGAGAGTGTATCTGTGTGTGTAAGAGAGAGTTTGTGTGTGTATCTGACTGTGTGTGTGTTTGTATCTGTGTGTGTGTGTGTGTGTGTGTGTGTGTGTGTGTGTGTGTGTGTGTGAGCCATGTGTGTGTTATTCTGTCTCTTTCCGAGGTCCTCCACAGCCATGGGGGGAAGAGTCCCACACGGACTGTACCGCAGTTCTGAACAGAAACACAAACACATGAGAACCCACTGGCAGAACAGAACCAGCTGGAACAGGCCATCCATCAAACAATAACGGAACTGAAAACCCAAATTAAAGAAAGACGTGAAGCGAGGCGGGGGGACCATTTGCATAAACCCTGCAGCCGTGCTCTCCCAAATACAAGATTAGTTGTGTGTGTGTGTGTGTGTGTGTGTGTGTGTGTGTAGTGGGGCAAGCTTTGAGAGTTGTTATTAGTTCCACAATTCATCTTAAATATCCCCCCCCCCCCCCCCCCTCTCTAATACTCCCTCTTTCCAAGCGACTATAGAACAAACAGAATCCAGCCAGTGACTGGGCAGCCACTCAACAACAAGGCTGAGGGTTTGATGTGTTTGGTAAGAGAGTCTAGAGGATGGGGATGGTGTGGTGGTACGGGTGCCGCCATGCCTCAATCCAGACACACAGTGCGTCTAAAATGGCACCATGATCCCTAAAGTAGTGCACTACTTTTGACCAGAGGACACATAGGGCCCCGGTCAAAAGTAGTGCCCTAAATAGGGGATAGGGTGCCATTTTAGACGCAACCACAGGCTATCCGGTCTTGAGGAAGCACTGTCTGGTTGGCTGCAGCAGTGTTGTCCCTGGTTTAGCTGTTGTTAGGCTGTGAATCACCGACCTCATTTTGGGTGTGTTGGTCTCTAGGTCACAGAAATCACTGGTCTCATCTGGGGTGTTTTGGTCTCTGGGTCAAGTAAGACTTCGGTCTCTCTAGTCTTCTATGAACAGTGAACACACATCTGCTTGAAGTGCAGTGACAGGTGATTTTGGTTTTCACTAAACTGAGCCATATTTTCATAACATTCAACAGAGGTTAAATGAAAGGTCATGTTTTGAATGACTACTGTAAAGTTCTAGGTTTGCATCTGAAATGGCATCCTATTCCCTAAATTTCACCCCATTCCCTAAATGGCATCCTATACCCTAAATGGCATCCTATTCCATAAATGGCACCCTATTCCCTAAATGGCACCCTATTCCCTAAATGGCATCCTATTCCCTAAATGGCATCCTATACCCTAAATGACACCCTATTCCCTAAATGGCACCCTATTCCCTAAATAGCACCCTATTCCCTAAATGGCACCCTATTCCACCCTATTCCCTAAATGGCACCCTATACCCTAAATGGCATCCTATTCCCTAAATGGCATCCTATTCCATAAATGGCACCCTATTCCCTAAATGGCATCCTATTCCCTAAATGGCATCCTATACCCTAAATGACACCCTATTCCCTAAATGGCACCCTATTCCCTAAATGGCACCCTATTCCACCCTATTCCCTAAATGGCACCCTATACCCTAAATGGCATCCTATTCCATAAATGGCACCCTATTCCCTAAATTTCACCCTATTCCCTAAATGGCATCCTATACCCTAAATGGCATCCTATTCCCTAAATGGCATCCTATTCCATAAATGTCACCCTATTCCCTAAATGGCATCCTATTCCCTAAATGGCACCCTATTCCCTAAATGGCACCCTATTCCCTAAATGGCACCCTATTCCCTAAATGGCAACCTATTCCATAAATGCACCCTATAAATGGCACCCTATTCCCTAAATGGCAACCTATTCCATAAATGCACCCTATAAATGGCATCCTATTCCCTAAATGGCACCCTATTCCACCCTATTCCCTAAATGGCACCCTATACCCTAAATGGCACCCTATTCCATAAATGGCACCATATACCCTAAATGGCATCCTATTCCACCCTATTCCATAAATGGCACCCTATTGCCTAAATGGCACCCTATTCCATAAATGGCACCCTATTGCCTAAATGGCACCCTATTCCATAAATGGCACCCTATTCCCTAAATGGCACCCTATTCCACCCTATTCCATAAATGGCACCCTATTCCATAAATGGCACCATATACCCTAAATGGCACCCTATTCCATAAATGGCACCCTATTCCCTAAATGGCATCTTATTCCATAAATGGCACCCTATTCCATAAATGGCACCCTATTCCCTAAATGGCACCCTATTCCCTAAATGGCATCCTATTCCTTATACAGAGAGGGATGTATCAAAGCCTGAAACACACTGGTCTGGTATGAAGGCTTGGCGGAAGGAAACTCACACTGACAGTGTGTCCAGTCATAGTTCAATTCAGATAAATTCCCTCCTAATGCGGACATTGACTCACAAAACCTACACGTAGGGGGCACTCAACATTCCCAGTGAGTACCAGTCATAACTGAGTCACACCAGCTCAACAATAGAATGGAGCCATGTCAAATGCAGGTACAGTATATTGTAGATACACTCACCATCACTTGTATAAACTGTAGGCACACTTCTACACAATCTGATCCTAGAGCTGTGCCTACAGGCATCTACAACAATGTACACTCCAGGGCCATCTCTAGACCTCTCAGAATCCAAACCCATACACCAGGAAGAGGATGTTAATATGTAAGATAATTGGACAATGCATCATTATAAGAGTAATGTCGATGGTAACTCGGTTATAATGTGTCTAGAGTCATGTTGATGGTAACTCAGTTATAATGTGTCTAGAGTCATGTTGATGGTAACTCAGTTATAATGTGTCTAGAGTCATGTTGATGGTACTCAGTTATAATGTGTCTAGAGTCATGTTGATGGTTAACTCAGTTATAATGTGTCTAGAGTCATGTTGATGGTAACTCAGTTATAATGTTGTTGATGGTTACTCAGTTATAATGGGTCTAGAGTCATGTTGATGGTTACTCAGTTATAATGTGTCTAGAGTCATGTTGATGGTAACTCAGTTATAATGTGTCTAGAGTCATGTTGATGGTATTTCAGTAGCTGTAGCTGATGCAATACCAAATAACGGAGCAATTTCATACGTTTACATTTAGAAATGTACAAATAATAAAGTATGTGTGGTGCCGCAATAATACACTGCTTTGAGATGTCCCTACTAGGCTACTGTAGGTCTATGCAGAACAGGGACGGGGCTCACATTAGGTTTCTATACACTAGCTCCACCGCGTGGTTACAAAGCTATATTGCAGATTTGATGGACATCGCACTTTTACATTTTAGTCATTTAGCAGACGCTCTTATCCAGAGCGACTTACAGTTAATGAGTGCATACATTTTTTATTTTCTTCATACTGGCCCCCCGTGGGAATCGAACCCACAACCCTGGCGTTGCAAACGCCATGCTCTACCAACTGAGCTACACGGGGCTATGACTAGCCTAATGTATTGTCGGGTAGTATTATATAGTGCTATGACTAGTAGATTGAATGGTCAGTGAGGTAGCCATTTCAATAATAGGAGACAATGCATGAGGGACACAAAGACGCCAACATAGCAAAACGAAGATAATCTAGGCTATTGTGAAAGTTAAATAAATAACCTTCGGTGTTTGTGTATGTTTTAACCCTCTGGTGGTTGCACCGCACATACTTTACATTTTTTATTTTGACCATAATCAGGTGACACCCAGGCAGGCAGCGAAGGCGGTGAGAGATTCCGATCCACCGGAGTGATCGCTTGTCCGGCCTATCCCAGCGGGCGTCTCCGCTGTCAGACCGGAGAGGGAGGGCTCTATGACAGGGTGCAGCGAGCTGTGAATATTGTTCGGTGTGAAATTGAGTAAGGACTGTATGGTTGCAGATCTCTAGGGAAGTGATTTTCTTTCAAATCCCGCCTTCTGCTTTGTTTTCGGTGTGTAAAACACTGCTTAAACGGCTACTGGACTATCAGAAAAACGTTATTTACAACTATCACATGGTGTTGCATGATATGACAAGTTGTAACTTCAGGCTATAGGGATGGCATCTATTGGATAGTGTGAAATCTTGTAGGCTGTAATTGAAGGGATTTCTTCGTAACTGTTTGATGCATAATAGACCTGGAAATCAGTAAGTTGTGGAGGAGGTCAACTGCACACATGTTGCAACTAAGCGCAACTTTTGATTTGCAGCAGGATGTGGTGTCAAGTATATTCAAGAAAGAGGCGACCGTGGGAGGAATCAAAGGTAAGAGCTATCTGGTTGTCTCACTAACGATATCCAAAACCTATACTTTGCGCCTTTACGCCAAGGTGACAATGTGTGACAAATACCATGATAGTAGTGACATATGTAATGGCAATATGTATTCAGTGGTGGAAAAAGTACCCAATTTTCATACTTGAGTAAAACAATGTAAAGATACCTTAACAGAAAATGACTCAAGTAAAAGTGAAAGTCACCCAGTAAAATACTACTTGAGTAAAAGTCTAAAAGTATTTGGTTTTAAATATACTTAAGTATCAAAAGTAAAAGTATACACTACCTGTCAAAAGTTTTAGAACACCTACTCATTCAAGAGTTTTTCTTAATTTTTACTATTTTCTACATTGTAGAACAATAGTGAAGACATCAAACCAATGAAATAACACACATGGAATCATGTAGTAACCAAAAAAGTGTTAAACAAATCATAAATATCTTTTATATTTGAAATTCTTCAAATAGCCACCATTTGCTTTGATGACAGCTTTGCACACTTTAGGCATTCTCTCAACCAGCTTCATAAGGTAGTCACCTGGAATGCATTTCAATTAACTGGTGTGCCTTCTTAAAAGTTAATTTGTGGAATTTCTTTCCTTCTTAATTCATTTGAGCCAATCAGTTGTGTTGTGACAAGGTAGGGGGTGTATACAGAAGATAGCCCTATTTGGTAAAAGACCAAGGCCATATTATGGCAAGAACAGCTGAAATAAGCAAAGAGAAATTACAGTCCATCATTACTTTAAGACATGAAGGTCAGTCAATGCAGAACATTTCAAAAACTTTGAAAGTTTCTTTAAGTGCAGTCGCCAAAACCATCAAGTGCTATGATGAAACTGGCTCTCATGAGGACCGCCACAGGAATGGAAGACCCAGAGTTACCTTTGCTGCAGAGGATACGTTAATTAGAGTTACCAGCCTCAGAAATTGCAGGCCAAATAAATGCTTCACAGAGTTCAAGTAACAGACACATCTCAACATCAACTGTTCAGAGGAGACTGTGTGAATCAGGCCTTCCATGGTCGAATTGCTGCAAAGACACCACTATTAAAGGACACCAATAAGAAGAAGATACTTGCTTGGGCCAAGAAATACGAGCAATGGACATAGTGTCTTTGTGAGATGCGTGTGGTTGAACGGATGATCTCTGCATGTGTAGTTCCCACCGTAAAGCATGGAGGATGAGGTGTTATGGTGTGGGGGTGCTTTGTTGGTGACACTGCGATTTATTTAGAGTTCAAGGCACACTTAACCAGCATGGCTACCACAGCATTCTGCAGTGATATGCCATCCCATCTGGTTTGGGCTTAGTGGGACTATCATTTGTTTTTCAACAGGACAATGACCCAACACACCTCCAGGCTGTGTAAGGGCTATTTTACCAAGAAGGAGAGTGATGGAGTGCTGCATCAGATGACCAGGCCTCCACAATCCCCCGACCTCAACCATATTGAGAGTGAAGGAAAAGCAGCCAGCAAGTGCTCATCATATGTGGGAACTCCTTCAAGACTGTTGGAAAAGCATTCCAGGTGAAGCTGGTTGAGAGAATGCCAAGCGTGTGCAAAGCTGTCATCAAGGCAAAGGGTGGCTATTTTAAGAATCTCAAATATAAAATATATTTTCATTTGTTTTGCACTTTTTTGGTTACTACATGATTTCATATGTGTTATTTCATAGTTTTGATGTCTTCACTATTATTCTACAATGTAGAAAATAGTAAAAATAAAGAAAAACCCTTGAATGAGTAGGTGTTCTATTTACGGATAGCCAGGGGCATGCTCCAACACTCAGACATCATTTACAAACGAAGCATGTGTTTAGTGAGTCCGCCAGATCAGAGGCAGTAGGGATGACCAGGGATGTTCTCTTGATAAGTGTGTGAATTAGACAATGTTCCTGTCCTACTAAGCATTCAAAATGTAATGAGTACTTTTGGGGTGTCAGGGAAAATGTATGGAGTAAAAAGTACATACTTTTCTTTAGGAATGTAGTGAAGTAAAAGTAAAAGTTGTCAAAAATATAAATAGTAAGTAAAGTAAAGTACAGATACCCCCAAAAACTACTGAAGTAGTACTTTCAAGTATTTCTACTTAAGTACTTTACACCACAGTATGTATTTCTCCTCTACAGAATACTCAGCGACCGTTGACACTCGGATCCTCAACATTGAAAGGGATGGAGGAGTCCTCTACTCCTGGAAAGTAAGTGGACACTGGGCAAGGGGCATTCACATAGCATTGTAATGGACAGGTTAAGCGTGACGTTCCACACATACATGGGGGGAAAAAAGGATTTAGTCAGCACCAATTGTGCAAGTTCCTCCCACTTAAAAAGAATAGAAGCGGCCTGTAATTTTCATCATAGGTTAGCACGTCAACTATGACAGACAAATTGAGATTTTTTTTCTCACAGAAAAATCACAATTGTAAGGATTTTTAAAATGAAGTTTATTTGCAAATTAGGTGGAAAAATAAGTATATTTGGGTCCACCTAAGACACACACACACAGTCATTATGAGCCGTAATGGCTTTCCTTCTCCCTCCTCTCTTCTCTCAGGGTGACAGGGACCACCAGGATCGGGAAATACGACCCCAATACCAGACAGAATAAGGTAGAGCTTCCTCTCTGTGTGTGTGTGACTGTGTGTGTGACTGTGTGTGAGACAAAAAGAGTGAGTGAGTATGTATGTACTGTATATGCCAGCACATAGTCCTAATGGAATGTGGGGTTACTTCTGGTACACTCACTGATCGCCACCAGCTGTTTGTAGTGTTCATCATGGGCCCTAACCCCTAACCCTCCCCCCCCAACCCCTAACCTCTCTCCCCTCTCCCCTCTCCCCTCACCCCTAACCCCTTCCTAACCCTAACCCCTCCCCAACCCCTCTCCCCCAAACCCCCTTAAACCCAACCCCTCTCCCCTAACCCCTCTCCCCTAACCCCTAACCCCTCGCCCCGAACCCTCTCCCCTCTCCCCAACCCCAACCTCTCCCCCCCCCCACCCCACAGAACCACACCTGGGGGGACCTAGTGAATGACCTGCCAGAGAGCTGGGACCAAAGTAACAAAGCCTACCATCAGTAACACACTACGCCGCCAGGGACTCAAATCCTGCAGTGCAAGACGTGTCCCCCTGCTTAAGCCAGTACATGTCCAGGCCCGTCTGAAGTTTGCTAGAGTGCATTTGGATGATCCAGAAGAGGATTGGGAGAATGTCATATGGTCAGATGAAACCAAAATATAACTTTTTGGTAAAAACTCAACTCGTCGTGTTTTGGAGGACAAAGAATGCTGAGTTGCATCCAAAGAACACCATACCTACTGTGAAGCATGGGGGTGGAAACATCATGCTTTGGGGCTGTTTTTCTGCAAAGGGACCAGGACGACTGATCCGTGTAAAGGAAAGAATCAATGGGGCCATGTATCGTGAGATTTTGAGTGAAAAACTCCTTCCATCAGCAAGGGCATTGAAGATGAAACGTGGCTGGGTCTTTCAGCATGACAATGATCCCAAACACACCGCCCGGGCAACGAAGGAGTGGCTTCGTAAGAAGCATTTCAAGGTCCTGGAGTGGCCTAGCCAGTCTCCAGATCTCAACCCCATAGAAAATCTTTGGAGGGAGTTGAAAGTCTGTGTTGCCCAGCGACAGCCCCAAAACATCACTGCTCTAGAGGAGATCTGCATGGAGGAATGGGCCAAAATAAATAATAATAATAATAATATGCCATTTAGCAGACGCTTTTATCCAAAGCGACTTACAGTCGTGCGTGCATACATTTTTGTGTATGGGTGGTCCCGGGGATCGAACCCACTACCTTGGCGTTACAAGCGCCGTGCTCTACCAGCTGAGCTACAGATGACTACCAGAGGACAACCAGCAACAGTGTGTGAATACCAGCAACAGTGTGTGAAAACCTTGTGAAGACTTACAGAAAACGTTTGACCTGTGTCATTGCCAACAAAGGGTATATAACAAAGTATTGAGAAACTTTTGTTATTGACCAAATACTTATTTTCCACCATAATTTGCTAATAAATTCATTAAAAATCCTACAATGTGATTTTCTGGATTTTTTTCTTTCTCATTTTGTCTGTCATAGTTGACGTGTACCTATGATGAAAATTACAGGCCTCTCTCATCTTTTTAAATTGGTGGCTGACTAAATATTTTTTTTCCCCACTGTAACCTGCAGTGCGCTCTTTTGGAAGTGGTGGGAATATTCTCTCTGTCTAGGTTGCATCCCAAATGGCACCCTAATCCCTATAGTGCACTACTTTTGACCAGGGCCCATAGGGATCTGATCAAAAGTAGTGCACTATGTAGGGGATAGGGTGCCATTAGGGATGCAGCCTAGACGGAGAGAATGTAGAAGCCCAAAGACTCATGACAGACCACTACAGCTGAATAAGCTACTGGTTAAGAGGTATTACGTTTCCTTATAACAGAGTTGTTCTTAAAGTATCCTCAGACTGTGAGGGAGTGTTAAGCCCTACATAGACAGCTGAGATGTCATGGTCATAAGAATAGGTAATTACACAGACACACAGACACACACACACACAGACACACAGACACACACAGACACACACAGACACACAGACGACACACAGACACACACAGTACACAACAGACACACACAGACAACACACAACAACAACAACAGACACCACAGACACACACAGCACACAACGACACCACAGACAAACACAGACACATACCACACACAGACACACACCGACACACACACACACACACACAGACCCACAACACACAGACACACACAGACAACACCAGACACACGACACACACCACACACCAGACACACACACACAGTCATTATAGCCTAATGGCTTTCCTCTTCCCCCTCTCTTCTCTCAGGGGCGACAGGACCACCAGATCGGGAATACGACCCCATACCAGACAAATAAGGTAGAGCTTCCTCTCTGTGTGTGTGTAAACTGTGTGTGTGAACTGTCGTGAGACAAAAAAGTGAGTGATAGTATTACTTATTGCCAGCACATAGTCCTAATGGAATATGGGGTTACTTCTGGTACACTCACTGATCGCCACCAGCTGTTTGTAGTGTTCATCATGGGCCCTAACCCCTCGCCCCTAACCCCCCCCCCCTAACCCCCTAACCTCTCTCTCCTCTCCCCTAACACCCCTAACCCTCTAACCCCTAACCCCTCTCCCCTAACCCCTACCCCCTCTCCCCTCTCCCCTAACCCCTCTCCCCCTAACCCCTAACCCCTAACCCCTCTCCCCCTCCCCTCTCCCCCTCTCCCCTCCCCCTCTACCCTAACCCCTCTCCCCTAACCCCTAACCCCTCTCCCCTATACCCTAACCCCTCTCCCCTCTCTTCACAGCTCCTCTACACTTTTGACAAGCAGGTGTGTGTCAGCAGCTGTTCTCTGAATAAGGAGGAGACTCTGCTGGGTAAGGACCTGTTCACAGACATAGAAATATAATGCATAGAACATAGAGATACATTAATTGTTGTATTGAATTCTATGGTGTAGAACAGATACATCTCTAGAATCCATGGTATTCTAATTCTATGTGACACACATGCGTAGTACAAAGACACACTGACACTGAAACAAGGATCCTCACTGAAGTGCTGAGCCAGTGTCTCCTCCCCTAGTGTATCAGTGTTAGACTAGATACAGGTTTTCCTAGATATAGCCTTCTGGTATTTCCAGTCCAAGATTGTGATCGCCCCATGGGAGTATCTTATCAGCACAGGAGAGGAACAATGTCTTGTGACTGAGCCAACACACAAGGGCCGTTGTATTGAACTCACGTCACCGAACCACATCAACTCACATACTTGTCTTTTAATCTCATTTTTAGCGGTCAGTTTGGCACAGTGGACAAGGACAGAGGAGCGCCTCAGACCAGGTACCTTGTCACCCCCCCCCCAACACACACACACACACACACACACCACACACACACACACACACACACACACACTTCCCATCGCTGATACAAACAAACAAACAAAAACAGAAGCTGAAGATTAGAGAAATGCAGAGGGAAGTGGTAAGCTATATCCTGCTGATAACTAGCTCTCTGTTTCACTCTGGTTCTCTATAGGGAAACAGTTCTCTATAGGGAAACAGTTCTCTATAGGGAAACAGTTCTCTATAGGGAAACAGTTCTCTAGGGAAACAGTTCTCTAGGGAAACAGTTCTCTAGGGAAACAGACCCATGGCTGTAAAAGTCAGTATGGTAACATTCAGGATGTTATTAGGTATCTATCCACACATGCACCACAGGTTTTTAAGTGTTTTAAGTGTACTCTACACGACAGGTTCAAACTGTACACACCTATTGGCTGTAGGCTGTACCATATAGGTAAACTGTATGTGTTGGATTGAGTAACAGTTATCACAAGGGCAGCACAGGCGGTGAATACGTTTTATGCTGTTTCAGGTCAGTGAAGTTAAACATTACCATATTTAACACCTTTCCATTGTTCTACTCCTAGTTACAAAATGTCTGACCCTCCTCATTGAGATCCATCCCATAAACAACACTAAGGTCCTGAAGGCTGTTGACTGCCGGGTCAGAGTTCAGGTATAGAACTGTATTGTTTTGTACTGGACTCTATTGGGTTGTACTCTATCCAGAACAGCTATTACAATAAGCTTCCCCTCGGTTGTTATTACATTGTTATAATAAATAACAATATGCTATAACATGGTTATACTACAAATCATGTTAACCAGTCATCTTTGGTTTCATACAGTTCATCCATCCAGACACAGAGAGGGACTCAGTGCTGGAGAGTCACCTGCTGCTGGTAGCAGAAGATGGCTGTGAGTATCTGGGAAGTGAAGTGGTGTCAAAGATTTGTTAAAAATATTTTTTTACAGCTTTTAACTATGATAGAATAAAGACATTAGCTGACACAGTTTTCTGTTTTTGGGAGAGTTTGGCCACTGGACCTTCAGGGTTTAGGCTTTGAACTTTGACCTTTGACCTTTCAGATGTAGAGCAGCTCCATGTGATGCTGGTCAGACAGGAGGGTTACAGAGTGGTAAGATACACTGCCACAGACTGTAGAGAGCTGGAATGGAATGCAACTGTTCCGTAGTGACATCATTTCCTGTTGACTGGTGTTCCAACAGGTGATGTTGAACCCAGAGTGCCTGGCCAAAGACAGGGTGGCAGAGGAGTTCAGCTGGGTCCAGTGGGACAGCCAGACACAGAGACTCTTCTACCTCACATACAGGGTAACATACCATATATAGGGAACACACTGTAGGCCCTGATCTGGGCAACAACACCTTAAACTAACATGTTCAGTTTCTTTTGAATTGTGAAGAATTATGCAGACATTCCAACTGATAACGCAATAATGACATCCCTTCTTTGTCTGTCAGGAAAAAGCTGTGCTGAAATGTGTGCAATTCTACCATGACCACAACTGTGAGACCTTGGTAGGACTAGCAGCATAAATCATTTAATAATGAACGCTTTATAGGTAGTGTTTGATTTCGGGTCAGGCTACTTAATACTTCCTCCTCTTTCCGACAGTTTGAGCTTGCACTGGAGTTGCCCTTTAACCCTTTCACCTGTATGAGGTAAGAATTCAAAGTCAAAATAAATTAAATACGATTAAAAACGGTGTGTTTCCCGAAAACAGTTCAAAATTATTTGTGGATTTCTAGTCATGCTGTATCGATAACTCCTTGTGTGTTTGACCCCTAGGTTTGTTAACCTGGGCTTTGACCATCACCAAGAGACACAGCATGAACGAGAGGAGATGAGGATGGTGGTGATCACCAATAAAATAGGCACGTTTTGGTTGAACATTAAATGATTCACCTCCATACTGTACTGTATTGATATTATAATGTTCTATGCTCGGAGAACATTCCTCTTTAATTGAGTTTGTCATTACTTTTTATTTGTTTGACATGGGACGTGAATGGAAACAGAGGGTAAGTGCTGTAGCTATTGTGATATAGATGAACTGTGTCACTCTTTGATCAATGGACAGTTCAGTCCACCACCAGCACAATCACACTCTCACTTCACAGAGCCCAGATATATATATATAACTTCTCTATTATCAAGATTGCATTAGTCAAGCTGCACAATTGGAAATGCTGCAGGCAATAATTTGTGTTTCTTTGAAAGGCCTATCAAATCAAAAGATGGTTGACGACGGCCCAGGGCCGGGAACATAATAACTTAATTGTGCTACTTATTCCAAATTACATTCAAGATTCAACCAATAAAACACTGTTGTTTTTAATAAAAACCCAATCAATACCACATTGTTAAAATGTTCTTCTTCTTCGTCGTATTATTATGTGCAAACCAATCTGTTGTTAGAGTGTAATTGGTTGTTTTAATACGTGATCCTTACTGATGATTGCAGGGAGTATGTGTGTGTGTTACATCCAGCCTGCTGGGGCCAACCAGGAGATCACATACACCATAGTCCTGGTGCACAGAGGTACATCTTACCATATTGCATTAGTTCCATACAATATTCACAAATGACAAATGAAGTTCCGTCAGTTTCAAGTTGTAAATTGTAATCTACCAGAGCCTCTCTCCCCTCTACAGGATGCAGTAAAACGTTCTCAGTGGCGCTGGATGACACCCCTATTCCATGGACCACAGAGCTCCTCCCTCTATTCATCCCTATTGGTCAGTCAACACATCTGTCACACACAGCCACCCATCCTATCAGTACCTACTGGAACACTCCCACACAGCCCATCCATCCTATCAGTACCTGCTGGAACACTCCCACACAGCCCATCCATCCTATCAGTACCTACTGGAACACTCCCACACAGCCCATCCATCCTATCAGTACCTGCTGGAACACTCCCACACAGCCCATCCATCCTATCAGTACCTGCTGGAACACTCCCACACAGCCCATCCATCCTATCAGTACCTGCTGGAACACTCCCACACAGCCCATCCATCCTATCAGTACCTGCTGGAACACTCCCACACAGCCCATCCATCCTATCAGTACCTGCTGGAACACTCCCACACAGCCCATCCATCCTATCAGTACCTGCTGGAACACTCCCACACAGCCCATCCATCCTATCAGTACCTGCTGGAACACTCCCACACAGCCCATCCATCCTATCAGTACCTGCTGGAACACTCCCACACAGCCCATCTATCCTATCAGTACCTGCTGGAACACTCCCACACAGCCCACCCATCCTATCAGTACCTACTGGAACACTCCCACACAGCCCATCCATCCTATCACAACCCCTGATAGTGCTACTTGTACTTGGACTGAGGAAGTGGTTTTAGGAGTTATTTGTGATAAAATGTTTATTATTATTGTATAGTAGACATTTACATAAGAGAACAAACAAATAAACCAACAAAAAACCAGTCCAAGATGGCTGATGAAAACAAACCGTTGACTAGCCTGCTGTTCTCTCCCCAGGTTACTACGTGGTGGTCTACCTGGCTGGTCACTTCCTGCACTGTATCAACACCAGACAACAGGAGCTGCTCTGCCACAGTCTCTTCCTCTCAGGTAAGGCTAGACCTGGGGCATGTTCATTAGGACACACCGTAGCCAAATGTTTTGCAATGGAAAAGGACATTTAGTTTTTGTTCTGGTTGAGATACCTCTGCGTTTCACTCCATTACGTGTCTATGAACACGACCCTGGTCACCAACAGAAGTGACTATATGAGGAATAGGGAGGCAAGTGTGTTTTTGTTCAACTGGCTTCAGTGTAATTGTGTTACAGGTGTTGGTGATGGCTTCAGTGGAATTGTGTTACAGGTGTTGGTGATGACTTCAGTGTAATTGTCTTACAGGTGTTGGTGATGACTTCAGTGTAATTGTCTTACAGGTGTTGGTGATGACTTCAGTGTAATTGTGTTACAGGTGTTGGTGATGGCTTCAGTGGAATTGTGTTACAGGTGTTGGTGATGACTTCAGTGTAATTGTCTTACAGGTGTTGGTGATGACTTCAGTGTAATTGTGTTACAGGTGTTGGTGATGACTTCAGTGTAATTGTGTTACAGGTGTTGGTGATGACTTCAGTGTAATTGTGTTACAGGTGTTGGTGATGACTTCAGTGTAATTGTGTTACAGGTGTTGGTGATGACTTCAGTGTAATTGTCTTACAGGTGTTGGTGATGACTTCAGTGTAATTGTCTTACAGGTGTTGGTGATGTCTTCAGTGCAATTGTGTTACAGGTGTTGGTGATGACTTCAGTGTAATTGTTTTACAGGTGTTGATGCAGAGCTGGGTGTGTTGGGATCAGACAGTGTGGTGTTGTCTCTACCTGAGTCCTCTCTGCTGGACCTGAACACAGGCATGATGTACACTGCAGACCTCAACCCCTCCTTTCTACTGGACCTACTGCACTGCAGGTAGAATGGAATAGAATGGAAAATAGTGGAATAGAATGGAATATAATAGAATAGAGTGGAATGGAATGGAATAGAATGGAATATAATAGAATGGAATAGAATAGAGTGGAATGGAATGGAATAGAATGGAATGTATTAGAATGGAATATAATGGAATGGAATAGAATAGAGTGGAATGGAATGGAATAGAATGGAATGTATTAGAATGGAATATAATGGAATGGAATAGAATATAATAGAATACAATGAAATGGAATAGAATGAAATGGAATAGAATGAAATGGAATAGAATGAAATGGAATAGAATGGAATGGAATATAAATGAATAAAATAGAATAGAATATAGCTTAATTATCCATTGTTCAGTAGGAAATGGTCTTGAGTGTTGGAGTGTGTGTCATGCTTACTGCACTGCATGTAGAAAGTACTGGAGCATTGGATATTATTGTGATGCTACACTTCCCACTCTGTTAATGTAGTATTCATGATGTCTTTGCTGTATGCTTTGTGCTGTAGCCACAGTAGACCTGACGCCCAACGCCTGGCTGCACTGCACTGTCTGCAGCTCTACATGGGGCCCAACGCTACACTACAACTGAAGGTAGGCGATGCAAGCAAAACCCCTGAGAACACTTTGTTCAGAGAGAGAGAGAGAGAGAGCAAGAGAGACACAGAGCGTGTGAGATAGAGAGAGATGTTTTGGAGGGAAAAGTTCAGTGCTGACCGTGAGTCAGGTTGTTTATAATAGAGAAAGTGCTGCACTTGAAATTCCCATCTGCAGTACTTGTTCTAAATGGAGTCTCTGTGGCCATGCCAACTCACTAACACAGTTAGAGAGGTAGAACGTCTTAGAGGTCAATGAGGACGTGGGTGGTGTGGTTTTATGAATTCTGTTGCTTTATACATGGGTGGTAACACTGGAATTACTACAGTAACAATACTTTATCAAGATGTTGTTACTTAGCATAGCACTTTTGTTACTTTATGTGTTTTCTCTGCAGATCATAGATTGGATCTGTGACAATGTGATGCCGTTCGACACCTTCGATCAAATTCAGGAGTTTATTCTGGGTAAGTGGAACAAGACTTATCATCATTATCAAATCTATTTTAGCGGTATTTAATGGAAGAATCATCGTCTCTCTTCAACGACAGCGTCACTGTACAGGATCATCTATAAGAAGTCTCTTAGTCTGGATGAAGTTCTACCCTACTCCTCTGTGTTTGAGAAGAAGAAGGTACCTGAGAATCTAGACCAGGTCCCTGGTGTCACCTGCACCACAGAGCTCCATGCTGAACCAGTGTTCAAAGGAAAGGTACGATATCTTTCACACACGCACATACTGTAGCTATTCAGCTAGCTGATCAGTCTACTATTTAGTGATTTATTTCACGGTTAGACACTAGAGGGCAGACAGGAGTGGGAAGCAGATCCAATGCTCTGTAACAGATAAAGAATGCATATCTAATTAATTAAATGTGCAAGAAGAGTTGTGGTGAAAGAAGGGACGTAATAATATGATTTAGACTGGGCTATTTACAATGAAATACCCCATTGATTATTCTGTAGATGGAGGCCTTCTTTAATTAAAGGCAAAACATGAACAATTCGTTACAATCAAGTGCATTTTATTTAATGTTATGCAGTATGAACCCCATGCGATAAATCATTTTGTTTCCAAGGAGGTCTCAAGATGACCTCAACAGATGGACGTATTTTACATCAACAGTAAAAGTAGTAAACGTCTGGTGTTTACTAGATGTTTGGTAATGTTTCGCTGCAGGCCAGAAGTCTCCAGGGCTATTGGGAAGAGCTACAGTGGAGCACAGAGAAGATGAAGTACTTTGAGGCGGTTCCAAACCCACGATACAGAACATCTCAGATTCTTCCAGAATGGACCAAGCTGCTCGCTACCCTGGTGAGTTCACACAGAGAGACTGGAATATAGAGGATCTCTGGGAGCTCAGTGCACCACAGGAACCATGGTCTCTCGCTCTGATCCCAAGCTTTATACTGCAGCTAGCAGTAGCACAGTATGAAAACATTCATCATTTACAATTCCTGACATATTCTCATATAGAACCACTTCAACATTGGGCGGCAGGTAGCCTAGCAGTTAAGAGTGTTGGGTCAGTAACCGAAAGGTCGCTGGCTCGAATCCCTGAGCCGACTACGTGAAAAATCTGTCTATGTGCACTTAACCCTAATTGCTCCTGGATGTCGCTCTGGATAAGAGCGTCTGTTAAGTCAGTGATTCCCAACCAGTTGTACTAGGACCCCTGAGGGTACTTGGACTATACACGGGGTACTTGAGAAGACTCATGAGACCATAGGCCTACTGGTAAAAGGCACATAAGGGGGTACTTCAGGGGTACTCCGGGCAGAGCAACATTCAGCTGATGGTACAGTAAGAAAAAAAGTTGGGAACCAGTGAGCTAAATGACTAACATGGACGTGTCAAATGTAGTACAGTATACCTTCATAAGAGGAAGTTAGAGAACACGTTGCTCCCTCTGTCTGTTCCAGAAGTCGGAGAAGAAGAAGTCTTCTAACTATCTGCGTCACATTGAGGAGAACACCAGGAAGTAGGTGGAGTACAGAAGACAGAATGGGCTCTTGTGTGTTGCAGAATGTTGTGCGTGTTGGAGGAAGCGTGTTGGTGGGGTACTGGGGAAAACTAGACTCCTGAAAGCACACAGAGACAAACTCACAGGGATCAATAACACTGATGGATATTAACACAGGGATCAATAACACTGATAGATATTAACACAGGGATCAATAACACTGATAGATATTAACACACAGGGATCAATAACACTGATGGATATTAACACAGGGATCAATAACACTGATGGATATTAACACAGGGATCAATAACACTGATAGATATTAACACACAGGGATCAATAACACTGATGGATATTAACACAGGGATCAATAACACTGATGGATATTAATACAGGGATCAATAACACTGATGGATATTAACACAGGGATCAATAACACTGATGATATTAACAGGGATCAATAACACTGATGGATATTAACACAGGGATCAATAACACTGATAGATATTAACACACAGGGATCAATAACACTGATAGATATTAACACAGGGATCAATAACACTGATAGATATTAACACAGGGATCAATAACACTGATAGATATTAACACTCAAACACTGTAGCAACACGAACAACAGACATGTACTATAGATATACTGTATACATACATACATACAGACACAGTTTCCACTTACAAGTCAAGTTAGACATTCTCTGATATTTCCTCTGTTATTTTCAGAGTTCTGTCGATGGTGGACAGCTGGAATCTAGGTAAGATGTCACAACATTCTAAAAGCCACTATCAATTAATGTTAGTAGAAGGAATGTAAAACCTGGTCTCTCTAGGAATGTAAGAAACCTTGTCTCTAGGAATGTAAGACACCTGGTCTCTCTAGGAATGTAAGACACCTGGTCTCTAGGAATGTAAGACACCTGGTCTCTAGGAATGTAAGACACCTGGTCTCTCTAGGAATGTAAGACACCTGGTCTCTAGGAATGTAAGACACCTGGTCTCTAGGAATGTAAGACACCTGGTCTCTCTAGGAATGTAAGACACCTGGTCTCTAGGAATGTAAGACACCTGGTCTCTAGGAATGTAAGACACCTGGTCTCTCTAGGAATGTAAGACACCTGGTCTCTCTAGGAATGTAAGACACCTGGTCTCTAGGAATGTAAGACACCTGGTCTCTAGGAATGTAAGACACCTTGTCTCTCTAGGAATGTAAGACACCTGCTCTCTCTAGGAATGTAAGACACCTGCTCTCTCTAGGAATGTAAGACACCTTGTCTCTCTAGGAATGTAAGACACCTTGTCTCTCTAGGAATGTAAGACACCTTGTCTCTCTAGGAATGTAAGACACCTTGTCTCTCTAGGAATGTAAGACACCTGGTCTCTCTAGGAATGTAAGACACCTTGTCTCTCTAGGAATGTAAGACACCTGGTCTCTAGGAATGTAAGACACCTGGTCTCTCTATGAATGTAAGACACCTGGTCTCTAGGAATGTAAGACACCTTGTCTCTCTTGGTATTGGCCCTTTGGCTATGAAGCTATTATTATGATTATTATTCCTAGAATAACACTGGGATATTAAGGCGCTGGCAGGTCATTTAACATGAGCTCATTTACCCTTGACTACAGTTAAAGAAATCCCCCAACTTGAGTTTCAGGGTCACATACTTGAGTCCACTGGAGAACATTGCTCCCGGACCCCACAGTTGTTGACGATTTATCACTATCATTCAGGGAGAGAGAGAGAGGGAGAAAATAGGGGAAGAATGCCACATGGTTATATAAGAATGGGAGGAGAAGGGCCTCTCTCTCGCTTGCTTTCTTTCTTTCTCCCTCTCTCTTTTTCTCCTCTCCTTCACTGCTTCCTGACCCCAGTGCAACTGTGGTAGCTCAACCACGTGATTGGCCAATGCTCTACCTCAACTATCTCACATGGGCCATGCACGGACAAAACACACCCTCACTCTATGTCATACACACTGCTCTCAGTCTCTCTCTCTCTCTCTCTCTCTCCTCTCTCTCTCTCTCTTCTCTCTCTCTCTCTCTCTTTCTCTCTCTACCTCTCTCTCTCTCTCTTTCTCTCTCTCTCTCTCTCTGTCTGTCTCTCACCCGTACATACTGATCAACATTCATCTCCACACCAATATCCTGACTCTCAGAATCGACCCTCTGCAGCACAGTTGACTCATTTTACTCTCTTTATCAATTGTCCCCCTTCATCTTCTCATGGAGATGTCCCTCTGTAATGAAAAGACCACGGAGATGTCCCTCTGTAATGAAAAGACCACGGAGATGTCCCTCTGTAATGAAAAGACAACAGAAGTCCCTCTGTAATGAAAAGACCACGGAGATGTCCCTCTGTAATGAAAAGACCACGGAGATGTCCCTCTGTAATGAAAAGACAACAGAAGTCCCTCTGTAATGAAAAGACCACGGAGATGTCCCTCTGTAATGAAAAGACCACGGAGATGTCCCTCTGTAATGAAAAGACCACTGAGATGTCCCTCTGTAATGAAAAGACCACGGAGATGTCCCTCTGTAATGAAAAGGCCACGGAGATGTCCCTCTGTAATGAAAAGACCACGGAGATGTCCCTCTGTAATGAAAAGACCATGGAGATGTCCCTCTGTAATGAAAAGCTCTTTATATGTTATTATAGTTCTCTTCAGGTGGTTCCTTTGTTCTGTCTTGACCCTCTCATCCCTCTTAAATCATTAGTCAATCCTCTTCCTTGTCCTGACTCATGACTGTTTGTTTTGCCTCATGTACAACTCTTTGAGATGTAATGAAAAGTCTAAATACACTGTGTTATGGTTTGCCTCTGCAGATCAGAAAGTGGTTCTGTTGTTCCAGGAGGAGGACAGCCAGCAGAGGGCGCTCATAGGCCTGGTGAGTCACAGAGGATACAGCAGCCATGATACTCAGGGTAGAAGGTGCCCTCAAGCACAGACAGATCTAGGATCAGCTTACCCTCCCCAAATCCTAACCTTAACCATTAGGGGGGAAATGTTAAACTGATCATAGATCAGTGTCAGCACTGTTTTAGTGCTGAGTGCTGGGAGAAGAATGCAGGCTTGTCCAGATTACAGCTCACCAAGACCAAGGTTCATGAGGGCAGATCAGGGCAGGCAGTACACACACAACACGCATGATAAAAATAGTTGTCCCTTTTCAGTCCTGACATTGCAGTCTATTCCCAGGAGTTTTTAGTGACGTTAGCCTTACAGCAGTAACTATTTCCATCCTGAAATTGCTGTCCCTGAGGTTTAAGTGACGTTAGCGTTTCAGCAGGTTCTATTATACCCATCCCCAGTTCTAAAACACTAGGGTAGTCTACCTGTGGTCCTCAACATCAACCTATCCCCAGTTCTAAAACACTAGGGTAGTCTACCTGTGGTCCTCAACATCAACCTATCCCCAGTTCTAAAACACTAGGGTAGTCTACCTGAGGTCCTCAACATCAACCTATCCCCAGTTCTAAAACACTAGGGTAGTCTACCTGGGTCCTCAACATCAACCTATCCCCAGTTCTAAAACACTAGGTAGTCTACCTGTGGTCCTCAACATCAACCTATCCCCAGTTCTAAAACACTAGGGTAGTCTACCTGTGGTCCTCAACATCAACCTATCCCCAGTTCTAAAACACTAGGGTAGTCTACCTGTGGTCCTCAACATCAACCTATCCCCAGTTCTAAAACACTAGGGTAGTCTACCTGTGGTCCTCAACATCAACCTATCCCCAGTTCTAAAACACTAGGGTAGTCTACCTGGGTCCTCAACATCAACCTATCCCCAGTTCTAAAACACTAGGGTAGTCTACCTGTGGTCCTCAACATCAACCTATCCCCAGTTCTAAAACACTAGGGTAGTCTACCTGGGTCCTCAACATCAACCTATCCCCAGTTCTAAAACACTAAGGTAGTCTACCTGTGGTCCTCAACATCAACCTATCCCCAGTTCTAAAACACTAGGGTAGTCTACCTGTGGTCCTCAACATCAACCTATCCCCAGTTCTAAAACACTAGGGTAGTCTACCTGTGGTCCTCTCAACATCAACCTATCCCCAGTTCTAAAACACTAGGGTAGTCTACCTGAGGTCCTCAACATCAACCTATCCCCAGTTCTAAAACACTAGGGTAGTCTACCTGTGGTCCTCAACATCAACCTATCCCCAGTTCTAAAACACTAGGGTAGTCTACCTGAGGTCCTCAACATCAACCTATCCCCAGTTCTAAAACACTAGGGTAGTCTACCTGAGGTCCTCAACATCAACCTATCCCCAGTTCTAAAACACTAGGGTAGTCTACCTGAGGTCCTCAACATCAACCTATCCCCAGTTCTAAAACACTAGGATAGTCTACCTGTGGTCCTCAACATCAACCTATCCCCAGTTCTAAAACACTAGGGTAGTCTACCTGAGGTCCTCAACATCAACCTATCCCCAGTTCTAAAACACTAGGGTAGTCTACCTGTGGTCCTCTCAACATCAACCTATCCCCAGTTCTAAAACACTAGGGTAGTCTACCTGTGGTCCTCAACATCAACCTATCCCCAGTTCTAAAACACTAGGGTAGTCTACCTGTGGTCCTCAACATCAACCAGCAGGGTAACTATTCTTAGACCGGTCAGCTCTGCTCCCAGCAGGCTATTCCCTCTGCAGGTCAGATAGCTCTCTCCTGCTCCAGGAGTGTGTGTGTGTGTGTGTGTGTACCTGTAGTGTGTGTGTGTGTGTGTGTACCTGTAGTGTGTGTGTGTGTGTGTGTGTACCTGTAGTGTGTGTGTGTGTGTGCACCTGTAGTGTTGGTGTGTGTGTGTGTGTGTGTGTGTGTACCTGTAGTGTGTGTGTGTGTGTGTGCCTAACTGAAGTGTGTGCTCCACTCTCCTTCCTGTTAATAAGAATGTAGGACACTGTTAGGGGAACAGGGGAACAGGGGAGCAGAGTAGCAGGGGAACAGGGGAACAGGGGAACAGAGGAACAGAGGAACAGGGGAACAAGGGAACAGGGGAACAAGGGAACAGGGGGAACATTGGAACAAGGGAACAGGGGAACAAGGGAACAGAGGAACAGGGAACAGGGGAACAAGGGAACAGGGGAACATCAAGGGAACCTAGTTGGACCCCTGCTTTATGATGACGTATACATACATAAGTACACACACACACACACACACACACACACACAACAGACAGACACACACACAGACAGACAGACAGACAGACAGACAGACAGACAGACAGACCACACACACACACACAGACAGAAACCTCCAATCTGAAGTGTTGTGTTTCCAATAGATGGTGGACAAGCTGAGAGAGCACCTCAACAGACACTTGCCTCGTCTGGGGAAGAAGAAGATCGATGTGCTGGTGGTGAACTACGTGGCCAAGCTGGTGTGTGTGTGTGTGTATATTTGTGTTTGCATGTTCTTATTCTACAGTGCATTACCCAAAGGTTGCTTTCATTGTTTTTGCAGTTACAGAAACAAATGGCTGTATTGACAAGGAAAGGCCTGAGACAGACAGATTGTAGTTGAGAAATGAGAATAACCATTATCCTCCAATACATTTATTTCCTCCTGTGGATGACAGATCTACTCCCCACTGTTCATAGCTCAGTCATGACGTCAGAGAGGCTCTGTACGGTACATCGTACATAGATATCACTGACTGAAGAACACCGTCCTAGAGTTTAACCTTAGGTGGAAATAATGCACTAGATATCAGGAAGAGACAAGCCTTTTCCATAAAGTGTGTGTGAGTGTGAGGTTGTGTGTTTTGGTGTGCGTGCGTGTGTGTGTGAGGATATGAGAGTGTTTCTTCCTGTTATTGCAGTAAAAGAGAGAAGAAGAGGATGTGAGGAGTCATGCTTGGTCAGCCACTGTGTGTGTGTGTGTGGGGATGTAATGGGTGTGAAAGTGGCAGTGTAAAAATAAATCCTAGTAACCCTTGTTTCTCTTGCTATGCGTTGCCATGGACTACTATTCATTTGTTGCTCAATAGAGAACAGGAACTGCTACAGTATGTGAAACTGTAGAAATAGGAAGTGAATGTGAAACGTTTTAATAGTGGTCTTGTCATGTAACATTTGAGTAAATCAGATGTTTAAATTCTCAGAGCATTCATCCCTGACCTCTTTTCTCTGTGTGTGTGTGTGTGTGTGTGTGTGTTTGTGCATGTCTGGTGTGTGTGTGTGTGTGTGTGTGTGTGTGTGTGTGTAGCTGGAGCTGATCAGACACATGCTGGAGTCTGTATGGCTGAAGTACAAACTGGGCCCTCTGGTGCTGTGCTTGTAAGTTGCTCCCTGATACAGTACATGCTGTGGGTGTGTGGGTGTTAGTGTGTGTTACTGTGTGTTAGTGTGTGTGTGTGTGTGTTACTGTGTGTGTGTCTTAGTGTGTGTGTGTTAGTGTATGTCCACGTGTATAACTACCATCCCTCATCAGCCAGTGCCTTCGGAAAGTATTCAGACCACTTGACTTTTCCCACATTGGTAGGTTACAACCTTATTCTAAAATTGATTAAACAGTTTTCCCCCCTCATCCATCTACACACAATACCCCATAATAACAAAGCAAAAACAGGATTTTAGAATTTTTTGCTAATTTATAAAAAATAAAAAACTGATATCACATGTATATAAGTATTCAGACCCTTTACTCAGTACTTTGTTGAAGCACCTTTGGCAGCGATTACAGCCTCAAGTCTTCTTGGGTATGATGCTACAAGCTTGGCACACATGTATTTGGGAGTTTCTCCCATTCTTCTCTGCAGATCCTCTCAAGCTCTGTCAGGTTGGATGGGGAGCGTTGCTGCACAGCTATTTTCAGGTCTCTCCAGAGATGTTCGATCGGGTTCAAGTCCGGGCTCTGGCTGGGCCACTCAAGGACATTCAGAGACTTGTCCCAAAGCCACTCCTGTGTTGTCTTGGCTGTGTGCTTAGGGTCGTCGTCCTGTTGGAAGGTGAACCTTCACCCCAGTCTGAGGTCCTGACAGCTCTGGAGAAGGTTTTCATCAAGGATCTCTCTGTACTTTGCTCCGTTCATCTTGGCCTCGATCCTGACTAGTCTCCCAGTCCCTGCAGCTGAAAACCATCCCCACAGCATGATGCTGCCACCACCATGCTTCAACGTAGGGATGGTGCCAGGTTTCCTCCAGAATTGACGCTTGGCATTCAGGCCAAAGAGTTCAATCTTGGTTTCATCAGACCAGAGAATCTTGTTTCTCATGGTCTGAGAGTCCTTTAGGTGCATTTTGGCAAACTCCAAGCGGGCTGTCGTGTGCCTTTTACTGAGGAGTGGCTTCCGTCTGGCCACTCTACCATAAAAGGCCTGATTGGTGGCGTGCTACAGAGATGGTTGTCCTTCTGGAAGGTTCTCGCATCTCCACAGAGGAACTCTAGAGCTCTGTCAGAGTGACCATCGGGTTCTTGGTCACCTCCATGAACAAGGCCCTTCTCCCCCGATTGCTCAGTTTGGCCGGGCGGTGTTCTTGGGGACCTTCAATGCTGCAGACATTTTTTGGTACCCTTCCCCAGATCTGTGCCTCGACATTTTTGCTCTGACATGCACTGTCAACTGTGGGACCTTATATAGATAGGTGTGTGCCTTTCCAAATCATGTCCAATCAATTGAATTTACCACAGGTGGACTCCAATCAAGTTGTAGAAACATCTCAAGGATGATCAATGGAAACAGGATGCACCTGAGCTCAATTTCGAGTCTCATAGCAAAGGGTCTGTATAGTTATGTAAATAAGGTATTTCTGTTTTTTATTTTTTATAAATTAGCAAAAATTCTAAAAACCTGTTTTGACTTTGTCATTATGGGGTATTGTGTATTGCTGAGGATTATTATTTTTTAAATCAATTTTAGAATAAGGCTGTAACGTAACAAAATGTGGAAAAAGTCAAGGGGTCTGAATACTTTCCGAAGGCACTGTACGTTAAGTTCCTCCCTTATACATGCTGACAGTGTGGGGGTGTCCCCATGTGTATAAAACTAACTAACTAACTAACAGTGATTAAAATGGATTTATAAGGGGCTCCCTCAGATGTGTTGACAGTGTGTGGCTTTCTGTCTGTGTGTGTGTGTGTGTCTACAGTGTGTATGTAAGTCCTGTTCCATTGATGTTAACTATCCAATCTGCTCTAGAAAGCAGCAGGGCAGTTCAGCAGAGTGGGCCGTGTTTCACCTGATGTGTCGGATACTGGAGGCTACAAAGACTCTGTGTCTCCCCCTCCCTCCTGGTAAGAAGAACCCTGTTGAACCTTCTCAAAATAACAGTGATTATTCATGTATTGTACCTTGCTCAACCTTCTCGAAATAACCAAGGTGTTAAACTTAGTTTAACCTCCCTGTCCAGTCTCTCAAAATAACAAAGCACTTCAAACAGAGCTTATAGAGCTCTACAATATTAAATAAACAGAGCTTATAGAGATCGCTCTACAATATTAAATAAACAGAGCTTATAGTGAGCTCTACAATATTAAATAAACAGAGCTTATAGAGAGCTCTACATATAAATAAACAGAGCTATCAGAGTATAGGCTCTACAATATAAATAAACAGAGCTTATAGAGAGCTCTACAATATTAAATAAACAGAGCTTATAGAGAGCTCTACAATATAAAAACAAGCTTATAGAGAGCTCTACAATATTAAATAAACAGAGCTTATAGAGAGCTTACATATTAATAAAAGAGCTTATGAGAGCTCTACAATATTAAATAACAGAGCTAGAGAGCCTACATTTAATAAAGAGCTTAGGAGCTCTACAATATTTAAAATAAACTAAAAGCTTATAGAGAGCTCTACAATATTAAATAACAGAGCTTATAGAGATTGTGGTGGGGGGGTAAAAAAAAATTGGGGGGGGGTGTGCAAATTTTTTTTTTTTTTTTTTCCCTTCTTCTACAGTGCATTACCCAAAGGTTGCTTTCATTGTTTTTTGCAGTTACAGAAACAAATGGCTGTATTGACAAGGAAAGGCCTGAGACAGACAGATTGTAGTTGAGAAATGAGAATAACCATTATCCTCCAATACATTTATTTCCTCCTGTGGATGACAGATCTACTCCCCACTGTTCATAGCTCAGTCATGACGTCAGAGAGGCTCTGTACGGTACATCGTACATAGATATCACTGACTGAAGAACACCGTCCTAGAGTTTAACCTTAGGTGGAAATAATGCACTAGATATCAGGAAGAGACAAGCCTTTTCCATAAAGTGTGTTGTGAGTGTGAGGTTGTGTGTTTTGGTGTGCGTGCGTGTGTGTGTGAGGATATGAGAGTGTTTCTTCCTGTTATTGCAGTAAAAGAGAGAAGAAGAGGATGTGAGGAGTCATGCTTGGTCAGCCACTGTGTGTGTGTGTGTGTGTGTGGGGATGTAATGGGTGTGAAAGTGGCAGTGTAAAAATAAATCCTAGTAACCCTTGTTTCTCTTGCTATGCGTTGCCATGGACTACTATTCATTTGTTGCTCAATAGAGAACAGGAACTGCTACAGTATGTGAAACTGTAGAAATAGGAAGTGAATGTGAAACGTTTTAATAGTGGTCTTGTCATGTAACATTTGAGTAAATCAGATGTTTAAATTCTCAGAGCATTCATCCCTGACCTCTTTTCTCTGTGTGTGTGTGTGTGTGTTTGTGCATGTCTGGTGTGTGTGTGTGTGTGTGTGTGTGTGTGTGTGTGTGTGTGTGTGTAGCTGGAGCTGATCAGACACATGCTGGAGTCTGTATGGCTGAAGTACAAACTGGGCCCTTTGGTGCTGTGCTTGTAAGTTGCTCCCTGATACAGTACATGCTGTGGGTGTGTGGGTGTTAGTGTGTGTTACTGTGTGTGTGTGTGTGTGTGTTACTGTGTGTGTGTGTGTGTGTGTTAGTGTGTGTGTGTGTTAGTGTATGTCCACGTGTATAACTACCATCCCTCATCAGCCAGTGCCTTCGGAAAGTATTCAGACCACTTGACTTTTCCCACATTGTTAGGTTACAACCTTATTCTAAAATTGATTAAACCGTTTTTCCCCCCTCATCCATCTACACACAATACCCCATAATGACAAAGCAAAAACAGGATTTTAGAATTTTTTTGCTAATTTATAAAAAATAAAAAACTGAAATATCACATGTATATAAGTATTCAGACCCTTTACTCAGTACTTTGTTGAAGCACCTTTGGCAGCGATTACAGCCTCAAGTCTTCTTGGGTATGATGCTACAAGCTTGGCACACATGTATTTGGGAGTTTCTCCCATTCTTCTCTGCAGATCCTCTCAAGCTCTGTCAGGTTGGATGGGGAGCGTTGCTGCACAGCTATTTTCAGGTCTCTCCAGAGATGTTTGATCGGGTTCAAGTCCGGGCTCTGGCTGGGCCACTCAAGGACATTCAGAGACTTGTCCCAAAGCCACTCCTGTGTTGTCTTGGCTATGTGCTTAGGGTCGTTGTCCTGTTGGAAGGTGAACCTTCACCCCAGTCTGAGGTCCTGACAGCTCTGGAGAAGGTTTTCATCAAGGATCTCTCTGTACTTTGCTCCGTTCATCTTGGCCTCGATCCTGACTAGTCTCCCAGTCCCTGCAGCTGAAAACCATCCCCACAGCATGATGCTGCCACCACCATGCTTCAACGTAGGGATGGTGCCAGGTTTCCTCCAGAATTGACGCTTGGCATTCAGGCCAAAGAGTTCAATATTGGTTTCATCAGACCAGAGAATCTTGTTTCTCATGGTCTGAGAGTCCTTTAGGTGCATTTTGGCAAACCCCAAGCGGGCTGTCATGTGCCTTTTACTGAGGAGTGGCTTCCGTCTGGCCACTCTACCATAAAAGGCCTGATTGGTGGAGTGCTACAGAGATGGTTGTCCTTCTGGAAGGTTCTCGCATCTCCACAGAGGAACTCTAGAGCTCTGTCAGAGTGACCATCGGGTTCTTGGTCACCTCAATGACCAAGGCCCTTCTCCCCCGATTGCTCAGTTTGGCCTGGCGGCCAGCTCTAGGAAGAGTCTTGGTGGTTCCAAACTTCTTCCATTTAAGAATGATGGAGGCCACTGTGTTCTTGGGGACCTTCAATGCTGCAGACATTTTTTGGTACCCTTCCCCAGATCTGTGCCTCGACCTGCCTGTCTCGGAGCTCTACGGACAATTCCTTTGACCTCATGGCTTGGTTTTTGCTCTGACATGCACTGTCAACTGTGGGACCTTATATACAGTGGGGGAAAAAGTATTTAGTCAGCCACCAATTGTGCAAGTTCTCCCACTTAAAAAGATGAGAGAGGCCTGTAATTTTCATCATAGGTACACGTCAACTATGACAGACAAAATGAGAAAGAAAATTCCAGAAAATCACATTGTAGGATTTTTTATGAATTTATTTGCAAATTATGGTGGAAAATAAGTATTTGGTCAATAACAAAAGTTTCTCAATACTTTGTTATATACCCTTTGTTGGCAATGACACAGGTCAAACGTTTTCTGTAAGTCTTCACAAGGTTTTCACACACTGTTGCTGGTATTTTGGCCCATTCCTCCATGCAGATCTCCTCTAGAGCAGTGATTGTTTTGGGGCTGTCGCTGGGCAACACAGACTTTCAACTCCCTCCAAAGATTTTCTATGGGGTTGAGATCTGGAGACTGGCTAGGCCACTCCAGGACCTTGAAGTGCTTCTTACGATGCCACTCCTTCGTTGCCCGGGCGGTGTGTTTGGGATCATTGTCATGCTGAAAGACCCAGCCACGTTTCATCTTCAATGCCCTTGCTGATGGAAGGAGGTTTTCACTCATAATCTCTCGATTCATGGCCCCATTCATTCTTTCCTTTACACGGATCAGTCGTCCTGGTCCCTTTGCAGAAAAACAGCCCCAAAGCATGATGTTTCCACCCCCATGCTTCACAGTAGGTATGGTGTTCTTTGGATGCAACTCAGCATTCTTTGTCCTCCAAACACGACGAGTTGAGTTTTTACCAAAAAGTTATATTTTGGTTTCATCTGACCATATGACATTCTCCCAATCCTCTTCTGGATCATCCAAATGCACTCTAGCAAACTTCAGACGGGCCTGGACATGTACTGGCTTAAGCAGGGGGACACGTCTGGCACTGCAGGATTTGAGTCCCTGGCGGCGTAGTGTGTTACTGATGGTAGGCTTTGTTACTTTGGTCCCAGCTCTCTGCAGGTCATTCACTAGGTCCCCCCGTGTGGTTCTGGGATTTTTGCTCACCGTTCTTGTGATCATTTTGACCCCACGGGGTGAGATCTTGCGTGGAGCCCCAGATCGAGGGAGATTATCAGTGGTCTTGTATGTCTTCCATTTCCTAATAATTGCTCCCACAGTTGATTTCTTCAAACCAAGCTGCTTACCTATTGCAGATTCAGTCTTCCCAGCCTGGTGCAGGTCTACAATTTTGTTTCTGGTGTCCTTTGACAGCTCTTTGGTCTTGGCCATAGTGGAGTTTGGAGTGTGACTGTTTGAGGTTGTGGACAGGTGTCTTTTATACTGATAACAAGTTCAAACAGGTGCCATTAATACAGGTAACGAGTGGAGGACAGAGGAGCCTCTTAAAGAAGAAGTTACAGGTCTGTGAGAGCCAGAAATCTTGCTTGTTTGTAGGTGACCAAATACTTATTTTCCACCATAATTTGCAAATAAATTCATTAAAAATCCTACAATGTGATTTTCTGGATTTTTTTTTCTCAATTTGTCTGTCATAGTTGACGTGTACCTATGATGAAAATTACAGGCCTCTCTCATCTTTTTTATAATAATAATATAATAATATGCCATTTAGCAGACGCTTTTATCCAAAGCGACTTACAGTCATGCGTGCATAATTTTTTTTTTGTGTATGGGTGGTCCCGGGGATCGAACCCACTACCTTGGCGTTACAAGCGCCGTGCTCTACCAGCTGAGCTACAGAGGACTTGCAGGTAACTTAAGTGGGAGAACTTGCACAATTGGTGGCTAACTAAATACTTTTTCCCCCCACTGTAGATAGGTGTGTGCCTTTCCAAATCATGTCCAATCAATTGAATTTACCACAGGTGGACTCCAATCAAGTTGTAGAAACATCTCAAGGATGATCAATGGAAACAGGATGCACCTGAGCTCAATTTCGAGTCTCATAGCAAAGGGTCTGTATAGTTATGTAAATAAGGTATTTCTGTTTTTTATTTTTTATAAATTTGCAAAAATTCAAAAAACCTGTTTTGACTTTGTCATTATGGGGTATTGTGTATCGCTGAGGATTATTATTTTTTAAATCAATTTTAGAATAAGGCTGTAACGTAACAAAATGTGGAAAAAGTCAAGGGGTCTGAATACTTTCCGAAGGCACTGTACGTTAAGTTCCTCCCTTATACATGCTGACAGTGTGGGGGTGTCCCCATGTGTAGAAAACGAACTAACAGTGATTAAAATGGATTTATAAGGGGCTCCCTCATATGTGTTGACAGTGTGTGGCTTTCTGTGTGTGTGTGTGTGTGTGTGTGTCTACAGTGTGTATGTAAGTCCTGTTCCATTGATGTTAACTATCCAATCTGCTCTAGAAAGCAGCAGGGCAGTTCAGCAGAGTGGGCCGTGTTTCACCTGATGTGTCGGATACTGGAGGCTACAAAGACTCTGTGTCTCCCCCTCCCTCCTGGTAAGAAGAACCCTGTTGAACCTTCTCAATATAACACTGCTTATTCATGTATTGTACCTTGTTCAACCTTCTCGAAATAACCAAGGTGTTAAACTTATTTTAACCTCCCTGTCCAGTCTCTCAAAATAACAAAGCACTTCAACAGAGCTTATAGAGAGTCTGGCTCTACAATATTAAATAAACAGAGCTTATAGAGAGCCTGGCTCTACAATATTAAATAAACAGAGCTTATAGAGAGCTCTACAATATTAAATAAACGGAGCTTATAGAGTCTGGCTCTACAATATTAAATAAACAGAGCTTATAGAGAGCTCTACAATATTAAATAAACAGAGCTGATAGAGAGCTCTACAATATTAAATAAACAGAGCTTATAGAGAGCTCTACAATATTAAATAAACAGAGCTTATAGAGAGCCTTCCTCTACAATATTAAATAAACAGAGCTTATAGAGAGTCTGGCTCTACAATATTAAATAAACAGAGCTTATAGAGAGTCTGGCTCTACAATATTAAATAAACAGAGCTTATAGAGAGCTCTACAATATTAAATAAACAGAGCTTATAGAGAGCTCTACAATATTAAATAAACAGAGCTTATAGAGAGCTCTACAATATTAAATAAACAGAGCTTATAGAGAGCTCTACAATATTAAATAAACAGAGCTTATAGAGTCTGGCTCTACAATATTAAATAAACAGAGCTTATAGAGAGCTCTACAATATTAAATAAACAGAGCTGATAGAGAGCTCTACAATATTAAATAAACAGAGCTTATAGAGAGCTCTACAATATTAAATAAACAGAGCTTATAGAGAGCCTTCCTCTACAATATTAAATAAACAGAGCTTATAGAGAGTCTGGCTCTACAATATTAAATAAACAGAGCTTATAGAGAGTCTGGCTCTACAATATTAAATAAACAGAGCTTATAGAGAGCTCTACAATATTAAATAAACAGAGCTTATAGAGAGCTCTACAATATTAAATAAACAGAGCTTATAGAGAGCTCTACAATATAAATAAAACAGAGATTATAGAGAGCTCTACAATATTAAATAAACAGAGCTTATAGAGAGCTCTACAATATTAAATAAACAGAGCTTATAGAGAGTCTTGGCTTACAATATTAAATAAACAGAGCTTATAGAGAGCTCTACAATATTAAATAAACAGAGCTTATAGAGAGCTCTACAATATAAAATAAACAGAGCTTATAGAGAGCTCTACAATATTAAATAAACAGAGCTTATAGAGAGCTCTACAATATTAAATAAACAGAGCTTATAGAGAGTCTGGCTCTACAATATTAAATAAACAGAGCTTATAGAGAGCTCTACAATATTAAATAAACAGAGCTTATAGAGAGCTCTACAATATTAAATAAACAGAGCTTATAGAGAGCTTTACAATATTAAATAAACAGAGCTTATAGAGAGTCTGGCTTACAATATTAAATAAACAGAGCTTATAGAGAGCTCTACAATATTAAATAAACAGAGCTGATAGAGAGCTCTACAATATTAAATAAACAGAGCTTATAGAGAGCTCTACAATATTAAATAAACAGAGCTTATAGAGAGCTCTACAATATTAAATAAACAGAGCTTATAGAGAGTCTGGCTCTACAATATTAAATAAACAGAGCTTATAGAGAGCTCTACAATATTAAATAAACAGAGCTTATAGAGAGCTCTACAATATTAAATAAACAGAGCTTATAGAGAGCTCTACAATATTAAATAAACAGAGCTTATAGAGAGCTCTACAATATTAAATAAACAGAGCTTATAGAGAGCTCTACAATATTAAATAACAGAGCTTATAGAGAGCTCTACAATATTAAATAAACAGAGCTTATAGAGAGCTCTACAATATAAAATAAACAGAGCTTATAGAGAGCTCTACAATATTAAATAAACAGAGCTTATAGAGAGCTCTACAATATTAAATAAACAGAGCTTATAGAGAGCTCTACAATATTAAATAAACAGAGTTATAGAGAGCTCTACAATATTAAATAAACGGAGCTTATAGAGAGCTCTACAATATTAAATAAACAGAGCTTATAGAGAGCTCTACAATATTAAATAAACGGAGCTTATAGAGAGCTCTACAATATTAAATAAACAGAGCTTATAGAGAGCTCTACAATATTAAATAAACAGAGCTTATAGAGAGCTCTACAATATTAAATAAACAGAGCTTATAGAGAGCTCTACAATATTAAATAAACAGAGCTGATAGAGAGCCTGCCTCTACAATATTAAATAAATATTCAAGCAAATTGCATCTGACGTTGTGTTGCTGTGTGTTTGCAGGGTACCACACTCTACTGGCAGTGTTGGGGGTTCGCTGTCTCCCCAGACACACCTTCCTGCAGTACGTTGACCATGGTGTGCTGCAGCTCACTGAGACCTTCGTCGCACGACTCATGACAGGTACACACACACACACACACAGGGCTATAGACACACGATACGTGCATATACCCAGTATATACACACACACACAATTTATCAGATGGCATGATTCAGCTATTGTGCCATAATGTAATTTGTCAGTAACTGTTAAACCTGTTCTCATGAAATTGAGTCAGCGAGCTGGCAATACAGTTCTGTACTTTTCCACAGTAAGCTGGAACCTCTTAGATTTCAGTACTGTCTGTTTTACAGACTTACAGTGTAACCATGTCTGCCCCCTCCATGCTTAAATACAGATGAATACTGTAACCGTGTCTGCCCCCTCCATGCTTAAATACAGATTAATACTGTAACCATGACTGCCTCCTCCATGCTTAAATACAGATTAATACTGTAACCATGTCTGCCCCCTCCATGCTTAAATACAGATTAATACTGTAACTGTGTCTGCCTCCTCATGCTTAAATACAGATTAATACTGTAACCATGAATGCCTCCTCCATGCTTAAATACAGATTAATACTGTAACTGTGTCTCCTCCTCCATTCCTAAATACAGATTAATACTGTAACCGTGTCTGCCTCCTCCATGCTTAAATACAGATTAATACTGTAACCGTGTCTGCCTCCTCCATGCTTAAATACAGATTAATACTGTAACCGTGTCTGCCTCCTCCATGCTTAAATACAGATTAATACTGTAACCGTGTCTGCCTCCTCCATGCTTAAATACAATTAATACTGTAACCGTGTCTGCCTCCTCATGCTTAACATACAGATTCATACTGTAACCGTGTCTGCTCCTCCATGCTTAAATACAGATTAATACTGTAACCGTGTCTGCCTCCTCCATGCTAAATACAGATAATACTGTAACAGGTGTCTGCCCCCCATGCTTAAATACAGATTAATACTGTAACCGTGTCTGCCTCTCGGTGTCTGCCCCCGCCATTCCTAAATACATAAAGCCCTACTAGGATAGTGATGTGCTTTCTACCTAGGCTGTGTCCCAAATGGCACCCTTTTCCCAATGTAGGGCACTTCTTTTAACCAGGGTCCATAGGGTTCTGGTCAAAAGTAGTGCACTATATAGAGAATAGTGTGGCATTTGAGACACACACCTAGAGGTCAATCTAATCTAACAGAGGACACTAACAGCAATAGCTCAGTCACTATATTAAAGATAGCGCTCTGTTCATTGATTTATCATGGTCACTGGAACTGTCAAAAAGCCTTTGAGTTATAGGTCTGGGAGTTTAGTTTGAAGGTGACATTACAAAGTTATAGGTCTGGGAGTTTAGTTTGGAGAGAGGGACTGGAGAGAGGGACTGTGTTGTGTAGATGTTGCACAGTGTTGTGTTTACCAAGACAATGATAATGGAATGTAAGCACTAGAAGCCCAAGTGCCACTGCAACTCCCACCCACAGTCCTGCTGGGTTTTTATACCTGTTAGATACAAGCACAGACTAAACATGACCATGTTCCTCATCCACTGTTTGAATTGCACCAATACTTGCATTCATATCTTCATATTTTACAATAACACAATGTAACACTGTACAATATAGTTGTTTCTTTACAAAGACATTGAAGTGTTATTGCTATACCCAAACAGTTTGCTTCACAGAATCTAAATGTCTTGAGTTACACTCTTGTAATACAAAGGTCAACTAATACAAACCCTCCCAGACAGTCAAGTCAGTACCTGGTAAGAAGAATAGTGCAACGCCTACAGCCCTAGATACCAGTTCATGCTTGGACAGATTTCCCAATACTTGCATTGACATCTCAATCTTTTAAGATATCACATTACAATACAGTCTTGTACTAAGATGTTACAATACCCGAACAGTGAGATGTTATAGTGTTGTAACAGGAACACTCTCAAACTTTTTGTACCTGGTAACAATCAGAATGCAGTACTACAAACAGTCCTATAATACTGTTTCATGCTTGGCCAGTTTCAGTACAGTTTATATTACATCTCTTCCTCAGAGTACAAACAAAACAATCTCTGAAGATGAAAGCAAAGTACAATAATATGCCATTTAGCAGACGCTTTTATCCAAAGCGACTTAGTCATGTGTGCATACATTTTTACGTATGGGTGGTCCTGGGGATTGAACCCATTACCCTGGCGTTACAAGCGCCGTGCTCTACCAATTGAGCTACAGAGGACCACAACAACATTATTGTTTTCAATATTTAGTCTAGACAGAGATAAGGAAATCTGATTTCTGGGGAGTAAGTCGTGCGTAATCAAGTGGTAAAATGAATCTGTGTAATTGCCCTTAAAGTGTTTTGAATACCGTAGCAGTCGGAGATGGTTGGTTTTCACACTCCCAGAAAGTCCTTCTGGGACAATAGAAACAGTATTGCTGAAGATAAAAGGTTTCGATTATTTTAAGTAATTAAAAACTATCTATTTTTCCTCTTGTGTAGATTTAGACAACAGTGATGCCAATGAGGAGCTGAAGTTCAGCATTCTGAAGAGACTACCTGAGGTAAAAGTTGCATTTCTCTCAAAGGTGGTAATTGCATTGTGATGTTTGTTACTTCCACCTGTCTAAGCAGTGGAATGTGAATGTCTTTAGCCAATCAGAGGATTCTTGGGCTGTTGTTGCAGCCAAGAGAGGAAGTGAAGCAGCTACAACAGAGAAACAAAGGCTCATTCCTTCTGCTGTTCAACTCATAATCATAGAGGGGGTTAAGCGTATTTCCCTTTTTACCTGACCTTGAACTTAAGCATGAGAATAGCATGCTATTCACCCGCTATTCGTTTGGGGTGGAGATCAAAGAAATGAAGGTGTGTCTACAGATACGCGGTATTCTGACCTTGACTTAATTCCCTCATAATTCCACCACCTTTACGCGTGAGGAAACGGTCTCAAGTGGGACAGTGAAATAGGCTATAAATAGCTGTGCCGTTATTCAGAATTTTTATTGTATACCCCAATAAAATGTGCCTAAATAATCTAACAGATCAGAGTATTTTTAAATCTACCATTTGGTGCTGAAACGGAGATGAAGATCCATATCTGGCTTTCTTTCACTGACCTCTATTGTCCGAACCCGTTCTCTCTATGTATTCTAGTTTGTCAACAAAATTCTAATTAAAGGTACACCATATTTAAAGGGATGGCTTAAGCAGGGTGTACACTACACTATTTTGATGTCCCAGACAAGTTTTTGAGATCGGAGACAAAATCCCCATGTCGTTGCCTACTCGGTGCGAGCGGCCGTCACCGACGCTTGTTTAATGTGAGCGGGTCAAGAGACACAATCTGAGGACTACCGATGTCATCTTTGAGCAGTCCCAGACGTCCCGACATTTTCAAACATGTTTGATTTTATGGGCACAAAATCTGCAATGCTCTTATAGAGTGAGATGTGCAACGACACGTTTTGAGAACGGTGATCAGCAATAGCAAATGAGAGCTCGCCAGAGAAGAAGCCAGTGAGATGATGACGTTTTGCATAACCCAGGATGTGTAGACTCTCGAGAAGGAGCGATGACTACTACCAAAGTATGCGTTTGTACTTGCCTTTAAATCAAAGCCAAAGTGTCAAATCGTTACAGCTCTGAAGCTCACAAGCAATGTTATTCCATTCAAAATGTTGGCTAGATATTTCAACTCTGAAGGGGAAGCGTGAATGTCTGACTGAAAACGTTTGAGGCTGCTTTGAGCCACAGCTCGTTGTAGCTACGTTAAATCAAATCACATCATTGTTTTGGCGAGACAGCGTGGTATTGAGAATCCTCACGACCAAGGGAAGAATCTTGTAGTGTGTGACCCCCGTCTGTGTCAGATCATTTAGTGTGCGCGCCACTACGTTGGCAAGACAAAAAAAAACATACAGGAAAGATGGTCGTTTAATGTGAGAGGTTTAGCGAGGTTAGGATTTTGTAGTGTACACCCGGCTTTAAGATGAATGTACTGAAAACCCTATTGAATGAAAACTCCACGAGAAAATCTATTGGCCAGCAAGTTGAAGGGTTTTCAGCGGTTGAATTAAATGTATTCAGCGCTCGCAAGGGAAACACGCCTGCAAAGCCCGTTACGCACCTGCATAAGGTAAGTCTGAATACCAACTACTGAGAAGTGCTTAGGAAAGGCGTGTGCGTAAGAAAGGCATCATTTCCTAAATCGGTATCGGGCCCTTAGCGAATATCGATTCATTTACCAGTCAACACATGATAGGTTTTACACAGGTTGAGAAACTTGTGTTGAAGGCCTCGTTATAGAGGACATGGGGTACCTATCTAATTGTTGTTGTTGCTGTTGTTGTTATTTACAGCCCATGGAGCAGAGGATCTGTCACCTGTGGGATCACCCCATCAGTTCAGCCTGTATCTCCAGAGACTATGTCAGAGGCCTACTGGAGAAACACGCCAACACCAAAGTAACACTGACCTGTTCTGCTTCAACTAATCAACTGTACAATCACCAATTCAATATCACCAAGAGCAGGAAGTAGTTATTGCTGGACTTGATTAGTTAGATGGTTTGTCTGTTGTTCCAGGGTTCTACGTTCATGGAGAGAGATGAGCCTGGCTTCAGGCCTGAGTTCCTGCCTCTCACATTCCTGGCCAAAATCCTGTTGGATGTGGAAGATCGAGGTATTTATTTAGAGAATGTTTCTCTGGTCTGTACAAGTGAAACTAGCTTATTAAACAGCCAAGCCAAACTGTGTTTAAGTGTGTGTCTGTACGGTGTGTGTGTGTTTCTGATGGTGTGTCTATTCTGTGTTGCAGCTCTGAACCCTTTTGAGGAGCATGGACAATGTGGATGCCAGGTTTGTGGAGGAGACGTCTCTGAAACAGACTCTGATCCTGCTGGGCTTCCAGGACAAGTGAGGGAGGGAGAGACCGATTGGGAGAGAGAGAGAGAGAGGTGAAGAAAGAGGCGGAGCAGGTCAAGGCTCCAAGTTTTCACTCAACACTTCATATTCCATAAGCACTCAGAGAGCGGGGACAGTTTGAAATGACACTTTCAATGTTGATTACTCAACGCTCCAATACACGAGAATCTATGAAATCCATTAGATTCTGATGAAAAATGGGTCTGGTGACAATAGTAATCGGTTATGCATTCATTTGACAGGTTGATATTTCTCCCCCCTCTGTCTGTTGCTCAATTCCCCCACACTGACCGGATGGATGAGGCTCTTACAGTAAGAGGGGAAGTTCTCTGGAAGGTGTCTGAATTACAACACCACATGTGTCCTGTATGACATCTGTATATTTCCATTTCAGAGGAACTAATGCATGGTTAGATTTCAGGAATAACACAGTGATTTGGAGTGGAATCGAGGAAATGCGTTGATCAGGTACAATAATAAACTGGCAAAGGGATTTTTTTTGGTAATGTTTACACGTGTAAAGCCATTTTGTATAAATTAAACTCTAAATAAAAGATTTGTTGCATGTTTCTAACAACCGTCTCTCTTCTTTCAATAAGACTGCTCGTGATAGCCGTGGCAGCGTCACATTGATACCCTATTCCCTGTGAGTCATACAGCGACATAAAGTGACTCATAAGTAAACCATAAATAAGTACATTATCCCATCATCACTCTGATTATCACACGCTAATGCTAGCCACTCTGCTGCAGTGTGGATTGTTATGGTTCAGACAGAGAGACAGAGACACACCCTGTTAGCCGAGGGAACAGACAGAGACCTGGCTAACTCCACAGATACAGTCGCTCAGGAAATGAACAGGCGTTCTACACAATATCTGATGTCGCTGTCTTGGACGCTTCCACCAGGCACATTTCTCCCAAAGCCAAGCTTTGATTCTCAGAATCGCAGAGCTCACACACACACACTCAACACACACACTCAACACATATACACACACACACACACAACACACACTCAACACACACACACACACACACACACACACACACACACACACACACACACACACACACACACATACTGACAGTCCCACTCCACCTTCTCTTCCTCCTTCACTTTTACCAGAAATGTAAAGAATCATGAGTGAAATCCCTCGGAAAGATTCTCCGTAAGGTCTAGGTTACTGGAGGAGGGTAACTAGAAACAGCTACAGTATTGCCAGTAAGACCTCATGCCTTCAGCAGAAATCCAACCCAGATGCATGGCACACTCCCTGCTCTGCTTCTCAGGAACAAAACAGGAACAAGACTGCAAACGAGGTGAAAATATAGCTGTCGTTTAATGAGCTGTGCTTGTGTTGAGAATCTAAAGGCCTGTGTCTAAAGGCCCTATGATGATTGGCTGATAAATATTATCCTGTCCCTGGTAACCCCAGTGTCCCATATGGAGTGCTATTAGTTCCAACAGAAATGTAACTGAATTAAATGTATGTTGACACTCATATCACTCCATAGTCTCAGATAGATCTAGGTGGGTTAGAAGTAGTAGTAGTGTTTGGTCCAGGTCTACAGTATATCTCAATGTGTTTGGTCCAGGTCTACAGTATATCTCAATGTGTTTGGTCCAGGTCTACAGTATATCTCACTGTGTTTGGTCCAGGTCTACAGTATATCTCAATGTGTTTGGTCCAGGTCTACAGTATATCTCACTGTGTTTGGTCCAGGTCTACAGTATATCTCAATGTGTTTGGTCTAGGTCTATATCTCACTGTGTTTGGTCCAGGTCTACATCTCAATGTGTTTGGTCCAGGTCTACAGTATATCTCACTGTGTTTGGTCCAGGTCTACAGTATATCTCACTGTGTTTGGTCCAGGTCTACAGTATATCTCACTGTGTTTGGTCCAGGTCTACAGTATATCTCAATGTGTTTGGTCCAGGTCTACAGTATATCTCACTGTGTTTGGTCCAGGTCTACATCTCAATGTGTTTGGTCCAGGTCTATATCTCAATGTGTTTGGTCCAGGTCTACATCTCAATGTGTTTGGTCCAGGTCTACATCTCAATGTGTTTGGTCCAGGTCTACATCTCAATGTGTTTGGTCCAGGTCTACATCTCAATGTGTTTGGTCCAGGTCTATATCTCAATGTGTTTGGTCCAGGTCTACAGTATATCTCAATGTGTTTGGTCCAGGTCTAGATCTCAATGTGTTTGGTCCAGGTCTATATCTCAATGTGTTTGGTCCAGGTCTACAGTATATCTCAATGTGTTTGGTCCAGGTCTAGATCTCAATGTGTTTGGTCCAGGTCTATATCTCAATGGGTTTAGGTTCAGGTCTATATCTCAATGGGTTTAGGTTCAGGTCTATATCTCAATGGGTTTAGGTTCAGGTCTATATCTCAATGTGTTTGGTCCAGGTCTATATCTCAATGTGTTTGGTCCAGGTCTATATCTCAATGTGTTTGGTTCAGGTCTATATCTCAATGTGTTTGGTCCAGGTCTATATCTCAATAGGTTTAGGTCCAGGTCTACATTTCAATGTGTTTGGTCCAAGTCTACAGTATATCTCAATGTGTTTGGTCCAGGTCTATATCTCAATGGGTTTAGGTTCAGGTCTATATCTCAATGGGTTTAGGTTCAGGTCTATATCTCAATGTGTTTGGTCCAGGTCTATATCTCAATGTGTTTGGTCCAGGTCTATATCTCAATGTGTTTGGTTCAGGTCTATATCTCAATGTGTTTGGTCCAGGTCTATATCTCAATGGGTTTAGGTCCAGGTCTACATTTCAATGTGTTTGGTCCAAGTCTACAGTATATCTCACTGTGTTTGGTCCAGGGTCTATATCTCAATGGGTTTAGTCCAGGTCTACAGTATACAGTGGGGAGAACAAGTATTTGATACACTGTCGATTTTGCAGGTTTTCCTACTTACAAAGCATGTAGAGGTCTGTAATTATTATCATAGGTACACTTCAACTGTGAGAGACGGAATCTAAAACAAAAATCCAGAAAATCACATTGTATGATTTTTAAGTAATTAATTTGCATTTTATTGCATGACATAAGTATTTGATCACCTACCAACCAGTAAGAATTCCGGCTCTCACAGACCTGTCAGTTTTTCTTTAAGAAGCCCTCCTGTTCTCCACTCATTACCTGTATTAACTGCACCTGTTTGAACTCGTTACCTGTATAAAAGACACCTGTCCACACACTCAATCAAACAGACTCCAACCTCTCCACAATGGCCAAGACCAGAGAGCTGTGTAAGGACATCAGGGATACAATTGTAGACCTGCACAAGGCTGGGATGGGCTACAGGACAATAGGCAAGCAGCTTGGTGAGAAGGCAACAACTGTTGGCGCAATTATTAGAAAATGGAAGAAGTTCAAGATGACGGTCAATCACCCTCGGTCTGGGGCTCCATGCAAGATCTCACCTCGTGGGGCATCAATGATCATGAGGAAGGTGAGGGATCAGCCCAGAACTACACGGCAGGACCTGGTCAATGACCTGAAGAGAGCTGGGACCACAGTCTCAAAGAAAACCATTAGTAACACACTACGCCGTCATGGATTAAAATCCTGCAGCGCACGCAAGGTCCCCCTGCTCAAGCCAGCGCATGTCCAGGCCCGTCTGAAGTTTGCCAATGACCATCTGGATGATCCAGAGGAGGAATGGGAGAAGGTAATGTGGTCTGATGAGACAAAAATTGAGCTTTTTGGTCTAAACTCCACTCGCCGTGTTTGGAGGAAGAAGAAGGATGAGTACAACCCCAAGAACACCATCCCAACCGTGAAGCATGGAGGTGGAAACATCATTCTTTGGGGATGCTTTGCTGCAAAGGGGACAGGACGACTGCACCGTATTGAGGGGAGGATGGATGGGGCCATGTATCGCGAGATCTTGGCCAACAACCTCCTTCCCTCAGTAAGAGCATTGAAGATGGGTCGTGGCTGGGTCTTCCAGCATGACAACGACCCGAAACACACAGCCAGGGCAACTAAGGAGTGGCTCCGTAAGAAGCATCTCAAGGTCCTGGAGTGGCCTAGCCAGTCTCCAGACCTGAACCCAATAGAAAATCTTTGGAGGGAGCTGAAAGTCCGTATTGCCCAGCGACAGCCCCGAAACCTGAAGGATCTGGAGAAGGTCTGTATGGAGGAGTGGGCCAAAAACCCTGCTGCAGTGTGTGCAAACCTGGTCAAGACCTACAGGAAACGTATGATCTCTGTAATTGCAAACAAAGGTTTCTGTACCAAATATTAAGTTCTGCTTTTCTGATGTATCAAATACCTATGTCGTGCAATAAAATGCAAATTAATTACTTAAAAATCATACAATGTGATTTTCTGGATTTTTGTTTTAGATTCCGTCTCTCACAGTTGAAGTGTACCTATGATAAAATGACAGACCTCTACATGCTTTGTAAGTAGGAAAACCTGCAAAATCGGCAGTGTATCAAATACTTGTTCTCCCCACTGTATCTCAATGTGTTTGGTCCAGGTCTACAGTATATCTCAATGTGTTTGGTCCAAGTATACAGTATATCTCACTGTGTTTGGTCCAGGTCTACAGTATATCTCACTGTGTTTGGTCCAGGTCTACAGTATATCAATGTGTTTGGTCCAGGTCTATATCTCAATGTGTTTAGTCCAGGTCTATATCTCAATGGGTTTAGGTCCAAGTCTATATCTCAATGGGTTTAGGTTCAGGCTTGCGGATGTGTCTGATGTTGTTGCCAGGCTCGGAGGGTTTGAAGGGGGCCAGGGCTCCGTAGGGCTTGGGCAGGGGCAGGGTGTCCCCCAGGGGGATGTAGGCGTTGGGCCGGGCCTCGGCTCTGGTGTACACCCCACTGGGGAGCTGGGTCCTCTCCTCCTCCTCCACCAGCTGTAACAGAGGAGAGAATAGAGGTCCTCTACATAGTAAATGATATACATCTAAAAGAGTATCTAGAAATGTACTGGAGAGAACAGGGTTCAATGTACTGAACGTTGCAGATAGAAATACCATGAATAGAGCTGACACGATTCCTCATTCATTACACGTCAGAGAAGCACGTCTATTCTACATCAAACTTTTCTATCTGATTGCCAGAAAGTCAAAGTGTTAAATGCAGTACAAAAGTTCAGTATCGAGTTCAACATTATGAATTCATCCATGAATTATCCATAATTCTAACTCCTGTGGTAGAGGGCCATGGAGGGTGACTGACCCTGTCCTTCTCCTGCTGGTCGGCCTGTCTGCGCTTCTCGTCCCTGAGGATGTGTTGCCACTCCAGCTCCAGGTCTTCAGAGGGGGGCAGACCCTGGTCCAGACGGCGGTGGCAGGTGTCCAGGAAGAGCTCCCTCTCCTTCAGCTCCTGACGGGTGGGATCAGGACAACATGGAATGTCAGGAAGAGGAGGATTATTAGGAGGATGTTGGCGTTTGGGTAGATCGATGTATGGAAAGAGGACGATGTCGTAAAAGCAGGAAAATCCTTAGACTTTATTTTAGCCTGGTCCCAGTTGACTACAGGGATCTACAGTATAATCCTTAGACTTTACCTTAGCCTGGTCCCAGTTGACTACAGGGATATACAGTATGGGTCCACCAGACTAGGAAATGCTGGTCAATCTAAAGGAATCTCCTATTTACCTGCTGCAGGATCATGGCGCTGGCCTGGCGCATCGACAGCTCAGACACCACAGCCATCATCCTCCTGGTTGATTCCTTGATACGACCCTGCAACTCATTCACCTGGGAGAGAGGAGACAGGGGGTTGGTTAACTAACTCTAGTGCGCATGGCTAAGTCCGATTGTAACTTGCACTAGAGATCGGTTCGACCAGCTGTCGACTGCCGCGACCGGGAGCTCCGGCGCACAATTGGCCACGTTGCCAGGTAGGGAGGGAGGCCGGCAGGGATGTAGCTCAGTGATAGAGCATGGCGTTGCAACGCCAGGGTTTGGTTCATTCCCACGGGGGCCAGTATAAAAAAAACAAACAAAAAAAAAACAATGTATTCACTAACTGTAAGTCGCTCTGGATAAGAGCGTCTGCTAAATGACTAAAATGTAATGTAAAATGTTAACGGACAGACAGCCTGACAGATAGACAGCCAGACTGATGGACAGACGTGATATTTGAAAAGACAGAGTTTCTCTAGCCGGCGGGGTAGGTAGCCTAGTGGTTAAGAGTGTTGGTCCAGTAACCGAAAGGTTGCTGGTTCGAATGACCGAGCTGACTAAGTGAAAAATCTGTCGATGTGCCCTTGAGCAAGGCACTAAACCCTAATTGCTCCATGTTCTATTAGTCTGGTCTGAACAGTACTAGCTACCGGGCTAGATTAATTTCCATCCCTGCCTCCAACACTCACACACAACATGTATATACTCAGACACACTCAGTCACCCCATAATGCACTCAAACTGATATCTAACATCCCCTAGATCAAACTAATATCTAACATCCTAAAGATCAAACTGATATCTAATATCCCCCATATCAAACTGATATCTAACATCCCCCAGATCAAACTGATATCTAACATTGCCCAGATCAAACTGATATCTAACATCCCAAAGATCAAACTGATATCTAACATCCCCCAGATCAAACTGATATCTAACATTCCCCAGATCAAACTGATATCTAACATCCCCCAGATCAAACTGATATCTAACATCCCCCAGATCAAACTGATATCTAACATCCCCCAGATCAAACTGATATCTAACATCCTCCAGATCAAACTGATATCTAACATCCCCAGATCAAACTGATATCTAACATCCTCCAGATCAAACTGATATCTAACATCCCCCAGATCAAACTGATATCTAACATCCTCCAGATCAAACTGATATCTAACATCCCCCAGATCCCAGAGCCTCAGCTTGGCCTACTGGCTGCTGGGGCCCAGTGAGGTTATTTAAGCGTGCTGAGAGGATTTGCCTCAGAGTGCACAGCAACTATGGCTCATTGGCTGTGTGTGTGTGTTAGGCAGCGTGTGTCTTTGTGAGGCTGTGTGTGTGTAACATGGCTCATTGGCTCATTGAGATAACTAACAGCCTTGGCCTAGTGGGCAGGTGATGCTTCATCCAGGAGACACTGGGCTGGGCCCTGCAGGGAGCCGGGGTGAGAGGGGAGTCAGTCTGCTAGGCTGCACCAGGCACATGGAGCCACCATGCTCCAAGATCCTCTACCCCGACTGTGAGTGTGAGTGTGTGTGTCTGTACCTTCTTGCTACCTCCTGTGTGTGTGTGTGTCTGTGTATGTGTGTGTACCTTCTTGGTTACTTCCTGTCTCTGTGTGTGTGTGTGTACCTTCTTGGTTACTTCCTGTCTCTGTGTGTGTGTGTGCACCTTCTTGGTTACTTCCTGTCTGTGTGTGTGTGTGTGTGTGTGTGGTCTGTCTGTGTTTTGTTACTCTGTCGCTCAGGTCCTGCTTCACTCAGTTCCTTTCGTGAGCCGGAGTCACTGTTCAGCTTTCCGGGCCAAGCTCTTCCTCCAACAATCCA